CCGACGTATCTCTGTCTTAATCTGCAACGAGTGAATTCGTCTCGTTCGCCGCGTTCGGCAATATCGCTCGAGAGTATACCGTTTTGCGGAAACTCGACTCGGTCCCACGGGTAATTTCATCATCGTCAGATAACATTAATTTAATGGCTCGTGATTAAATTGAAAATTGATGCTGCCTGTTTTCCGTTTGTTTAATTCATTGTCATTGCTATTCACCGTTGATGCGGCTTGTTCGTTTATTCGATGAATTACAATTTGTATTGTTCGTATAAACGTACCTTTCAGAAAGCAATAAAATGAAGAAATAATAATCAAATGTGTAATCAACGCGTATTTGATGCGTCGTAAGTGTCAGAGTAACTGACACTCAATCATTTTTAACGTTACCGATAGTCCTGAGGCATAAAAATTTTTTTTCGATAAAATTCATTTTACGATCTTTACTTTCGAGTTCGGAAATGCGCCGTGTGGATACGGGCCGTCCCGAAAATGGGCCACGTCGGCGACAACTTTAACTGTCGCAAATTCCGTGTGCCGAGACTATCACAGCACTTCACGGGGAGTTCTTCGCAGCGCGATATATACACCGCTAACTCAATAACCCTCTTATTCCCTTCGACCTCATTTCCGCGCCCCGTCGAACGTTATACCGGCTCCCCGGCACGTCTCTTAAAGCTGATGGCGCGACGGCGGCGCCGAGAAAAATAGATTGATAACGCGGCAGCGTGCGTGAAGGCGCGGCGCGCGAAGCTTAACGATGCGGAATGACGAAAGGCGTTATAGGCGGAAACATTTCGCCCGCGTGCTACAATGTTCGCGTTCCTGTAACACCGTGAATATAAATATTTGTTGACATTAAGCTATATGACAGGACGATATTTTACGGCGAGTGGAACGATACTTTTGACAACGTGCGAGAGCGTAACTGTTTATTTATTACAGGAATATATTCTACAACATTGTGTCGAATGTCGAAACGTCACGTTTTAATATTGTACACCGAGAAACGGTTCACCCCTGTTCAATCTCAATGAAAACCGCGGTAGCGCTTTTACTTCGGCATTTACTTCGAAGTGAATTTTTCCGATGAACGATAGCACGAAAGATATAAGCGTCTCGCTCCGATCAACCTTATGTAACCGAAAACATATCGCTTAAGATATTCCATGTTTTTGCTCGGGCTTACGACACCTGTCAATATCGCGCGCGCCACGCTCACCCTTGGATTTAGTCAAATCTTCGGGATTACGCTATCGACTGGTTACGGCCAGCCGAGTGGTGTGCGCGATTTGCGCAGCCTCCCGCCTTGTTTTGCCCTCGACGCCGAGTATATCCGTACACAGCGCTCAATATGAAAAAAATTTATAATTCTTCGACAATAGTGCCAATAATACGCACATCATGTTCCCGACCGGCGCGGCGCACCGCGATATTTCATGTCCGGGGATCGGGGATCGGGGTAGCGATGTGGTGTGTATGCACCGGGGCGCCACACGCGAGCCATTTTATTTTGCAATATAATGCTTGACTCCTCGTCGTCCGCGCGGCTTGACATATTGGACGTGATAGGGAGTAATCTGTTATACCGCCCCGTGTCCACGATAGAAGCCTGCAGGCGGCACCCTCCGCCCACCCCCTCTACGTTGCATCTACGGTACGCTGGAACGACCGATATATTTCCCGGTATACACTTCCGTATACGGATTCGTACGGGGAAATATAGTGGCGCGAGCGCGAACGCGAATGCGTGAGCCGGATCGACAATAAATCAGGGACCGCAACGTAAATAAAATCTTATGGAAACATTCGGGAGGAAAAGAGATGGACACGTCTTTTTTGCTCTTTTATTTTTCCGTGGCCAATTTGAGATTATCCACCGCGGTTGCTTCGAAGAAACGATCATTGATTTGGGAATCTTGGTATGAGAACGTAATACGTGCGACAGTGGCTGATATACTCGCTGTGAATAAATGCGTGAGCACTAGTTGGGGAAAAACTTTTGTCGATATTGCGCAGAGAGACAGCTGAGACAGATATCGTAAAATACATTTTGTGCGTCATGTGTTGTTTTATTTATACGATGTGCTCATGTGTATTCCACGATATCCTTGTCGTAAAATTTGATTTGACTTGAAGCGATTCGCCAAAATTGGAATCGTTATGAACACAGAATGTGATATGTGAATGATAAATCGGTTCTCCTCGCGAATTACCTTTACATTCTTAGACACGTGGAAATTGAATTACGCGTTCATATTCTTAGATACGTTGATATTGAATTACGTTTACCTATATTCTTAGACACATTGATATTTAATTAAGTTGACATTCTTAGACACATTGATATTGAATTACGTTTATATTTTTAGATATAATTGATATGATCTTTGCTTTATGATGTTTATAAGTGTTTCGTCTTTGTTTAATCTGTGTGGTTATTTCTAACTCTGTGAGGCTTAGAAAAGAAGGAAGATCACAAGCAATGAAACTCACATTTTTCTCTTTTATAATTATAATTAATTTAAGATACATTTTTTGATCCAATAGGAACGTTAAAGCTGGAAACGCCACGCCGGAGATTCTGGACGATTCTTAATAATTAATCGCGCGAGAATTATGTCTGGAATTCGGGAGGCATCTCTCGGATAATCCCGGATAGCATTTCGCAATATTCCGACGAACGCATCGGTGCATCCCGATGGCGCATGTCTATCGAAAAAGCAAAGAGATCTCTCCGCTGTAGTTTCGCTTGGCTGAGGCCAGGATCAGGGATGGCACTCGAGACACACCCGGGGGATTTTGGGACGAAAAGTTCCGCTAGAAACTCCGGTCTCTCTCGCTTATCCAGAAGCCTTCAACCCACCCTCTCTACTTTCCCCGCGCGTCGCTCGTCCCATGTCGCTTTTCGCAACGCGCCGAGTCAAGCTGCATACAGTTTTCTCTCACGAACTCGCACACGCGCGCGTCGATCCGGTCGAAAGGTATCGCGAAAATATAGACCGTGAAATTTCTAAACGGGATTTAAAGTTTTGCACGGCCAATTTCTAGCCGCCGTTTAACCTACCCGCATGTAATTACCGAGATAACGAGCTTTGTAGAACAGTCAGAATTCTGGAAAAAGAGATTAAGCAAGCCGTTCACCTTGTAAGTGATGCGTAAGTCAAATTTATGGAATGTAACAGCTTTAAAGAAAATATATGCGTATAGGATTAAGATGGATATCTGCGCCATATACTTTTTCAATGCTTTGATCTGCTCTTTACAGAATATGTAATGCACATCGAAAAAGGAGATTGTTTTGGGTCATCAATGTAATAACCGAAAGATAAACGTTCGAATAATATTGCATGAGAAAGAAAAGGTACAGATTACTTTGTTTGTCAAGAAGGCCTATGCATTAAAAATATCTAACCTAAACATCTAATCCTATGTAGCGTGTGATTAATTATCGACACATATCGAGCTGATTAATCAGATTAATCGTAAGCTCCCTCGGGAACTGCGAGCTATTAGCGACGCCCTACTGATTTCCCGAGCGTTCACGGTATAAATTATTCACCACCTTAATAGTACGCCTTCGCAATTGCTCGTTATTTTACAGTCTGATGACTCCCCGAGAAATTAACGTCGTAGATTCGAGCGTCTTGAAAATATTTTACAAGCGCGTTTTCAAGCGATATTTCGCGATATGGCGTTATATATGCTTTCCGAATCGCGTTAAAATGTACACGAAGCGTTAATATTATGATATTATGGGAGCGAGGAACACAGTCTTTTCGTGCGTTCAGCATGTAAATGAACGTAGAGGGAGATATGCAAATCGTACATGGCGAGTGACACCGGCGTATTCTACCAACATATTTTGCAAGCGCTCGGTACGATGTGTTTGCGCGGATGTCATTTTCGTTCGGTCGATTTTAAAATGGAAGTAAAGTTAGATGACTTGTTGACTTGACGACAAAACGTCTTAATAACACTTCTCTAACATAGATGAATAATTCATTGTGATTTTTAAATATATATTGGTACTAGAGATATTATCGTCAAACTTTTTATATTACCGCATTATATCAGTTTCATCGATTTATACAGCGCGTATGTGTTATAAGCTTTTAAAAATGTTTTACATTAAAAGAGCTTATAATATCAGTAAAAGTTTAAACGAGCAGATATTGACTTTATCATTATTATTCAGTATTCCGGCACCACCCCTGCTCTCTGTACGCGTCAGTATGTTAAAAACCGGGTATCGATGTACTAAAAAATTCCTTTCGTCATCTTTTAGTCATAGAATTATAGATCTCCGAAGGTGTCGTTATATTGAAACCTCCGAATGGCAAAAATGGAACGATCAATAAAGAATATTGGCGATTCCCAATTCGACAGGAAGCGGAGTTTCTGATCAGAAATTCAAATTGAATCGCGGAAAGCAGAAATATTTCTGTCACACGAAAATTGCAATAAAGAAGGTATACTGTTTTGAAAAATGATGTAAAAAGCTCGGGGGGGTTTCTCGAGTTAAAGTAGATAGGCGAAGAGAAACGTAGAAGCGTGGGCGTTAAACGGTCGAAACGGCATTTCCATAGGGACCCACCCACGTTCCTCTTTGCGTGAAGAAGAATGGTGGCAGCCTCAGGTGGATCATCTAATATATACAGGGTGTCTTCGCAAGATGGCCCTATCACGGTGCCATGAATTTCATGGCGATTTGAGGACAGTTCTTTTTATCTTTTTTTTTTTTTACAAAACGATATCCTGAAATAAGCGGCACTAAAAAAACTCGACTCAGTCGGAATTCATAAATTTTTACGTACAATCGGAGATCTATTGAACCAACAAGCCCCTGGTTAAGAAAATATGAACTCCGCATTAATCCAAGACACTTCATGTAAAAGGAACCGCGGCGCACCTGGGTCACCTTGTATACATATAAACTCGCGCACGTAGAAGCCTCGTGCATAACGGCGCCGAGTAACACGCGAAATGCATTTCTGTTTCAGGAAGCGCATACATCATCAGATGGAGTGCGCCGCAGTTGATGGTCGTGGCGGTGCAGTACATTCTCACGGGGCCCTACATGCCCCCGTACGTACCGCAGACAGCGAATTAAGACGTCCGTCGCAAGGAAAAGGAACCGCCGTCTTCGCGCCGTTCACCCGCGAGGAAAAGGGGTCGTCGTCGACGACGCGCGAGGAGAGGGACCGGGGGGGAACGCTGGTTCCCGAAAATATATCGTCGCGTATCTTTCGCGGGAAGCGCGCTTTTTGCGGAGCCGCGTCGAGCGCACGGATTATGGAGCACTGATGGACAGGAAATGTGCTCGCGAACTCTGGTAACGGGTAACTGGTCAACGGGTAACTGGTTTACGACCGACGGACATTAATCTATCCCGATCTGAAATGGATTCCGATTTTGCTTTACCGCTCGTCGATCGAATTGGCCGATCGTCGCGAATCGGATTGAGAGATTTTCACAACGACAGCGAAGTATTAAATAATTTTATTCTTATTAAACGGAGATTTCCTCTCGCAGATGATACGCTGAAATATCCTGGCTGTGCTCGATAAAGTCCGTTCTTCGTTATGGACGTCGTATAATTCTTTATGAAATCGTTTTCACGCGCGGGATCGATAAGCTACTGTGCTCCGTACTCGGTCTCAGCTACAGCAGAGTTTAAAATTTAAACGGACAGCTAGAAAGAGCGCCGGGGCGATGCCGATATATATTAATCGATAAGCCGCGATACCAATAAGTCCTAACTATTAATGTATCGCGACGCACCGCGGATACACTTGAAAGTATATTCGAGATAATTTTAAACAAAGCTGAGATAATATTCGAATAAATTTCACTTATTGAGTTGTATAACGCCATATCTTCCCTGACAGCTCTTTTGTGATTCCACGAAATACTTTTTTATATGATTAATATACAGTACTATACGTGCGTCACATGTGATACAATTCGAAGACCGTGGAGGTTGCTTTAACCATTTGCTTTAATATCTGGTTTTTAAGACATGCTACGAGACTGTGTCGAATAAAATTAGATAAATATTTTTTTCTATCTATACTCAAGGATCGTTGTTCCGTAATGTAAAAATAAAAGAAGGATAATAAACTTAGTGATCAAACAAAAGAATTGTACGTTTCCTCGACGTGTGTGGATTTACGTGTAAATACGACGCATCTCGAGACCAATGAGGGGTCGTCCGAGAGATCTCTCCAGAGAACTGAGGGGAATTTGATTAATGCCTCGGCACGTGAAAAATAGCGGGGGCGTGATCACGACTCTTCGCAAGCGCGACAATGACATAAGAGTCATCGAGAATTTTTCATGGACCGTGAAAAAAAAAACCTATCGGTAATCCCACATGCCTTTGACAAAAATTCACTAAAAACTCTAATAAAATTATAACTGAATTACGAGGTGAAATCCCGCGCGTCAGAATTGAAATATATCTCAATCGCGCTGCGTACGCCCGAATAAATATGTAGATGTCACGCATTACAATGCGTGGCCTAAAAACACACACAGACATTTTATAAAAGCGGACTTTTTTACGGTAACACAAATGACAAGAAGGGGTGCGCTGCTTTTGCGCGAATTTTATTGCGCGCAGGTTGTCAGTTATATGGACCAAAATTAAATTTATTGCAGATCAGGGAACATTATTGTCCGATAAAATTTATATCAACTTTTGAATGTCCGATCCGTCGTGGCGACATATTATTGCCTCGTGAAAATTTACGAATACCCTATATTCATTAAATGTCCTCTTCGTTTAATTAAGTGCACGTATATATGTATTTTGTGCCGTTAAAACGCTATTGGCAATTTTTAATTATCACGTACGTCGGAACGGTTATTATTCGCCAATTAAATGTTCTATGAAACTCTTTCGTTCTCAACGTCAATATATCCGTAACGATTTCCACTGCCGTCACTTAATACAGATGCCGCGTACAGGACTGATTCCGATAAAAATTACAACGTAAGATAACTCTGGCGTGTATAAACTTTGAAGGGACTGAAATTGCAAGTCGCGATTTATATGATTCCTTTTGATTACCTGAAAATTATGAGTCTCATCTGGCCGCCGTAACTGTATGCGCTCGTTAACGAAACGATCTCGATTATTGGTACAGTAGAATCGTTTTATGCAATTACAAACGCGCTCGAAGCGCACGATTTCTATCGCAGGAACAATAGGTCGGAATTGAATTAATATACGAGTGCGAAATTAAATTACACTTTATGTATAAAGAAATGAATGTGTGAAGCGCGTAGTAGCATTTCTCTCCGGCGGAAAGTCTCCGCGGCAGTTAATTGCCTTCCGCTCTTCCCATTCATTACTCTTTACACGCGCCATTGTACATATCAAAATCTCAGTGTTCTGCCAATACTTTATGCTAATTGTTATATTAGCTATCGTTATTAGCTCTTTTACGCCAGAGCCATTTAAGATTAAAATTTTATATTTAATATACGTTTTCAGGTAAATTTTGATTATGCATATAGTGAATTTGTTCACTTGACAATTATGTCTGAAGCAGTTATAAATTACAATATTTTCTGAACAGACGCCGTTAATTACGTTCACATTTAAATGGAACATAATAAGTTTAAGACGAGATTGATACACATGAGAAATATTATTTCGGCCGGAAATTTCGCACCGAACCTCGTGTTAGTTTAAAACCGGAAACTCCGGCTGTGTATGGCCGACGGATGCCTTCACGGAAAAACGGAATGTGAATAGTGAAGCTGCACGATCCTGATGGTATTTTAACAGAATACTGAACGTTCGTGTTCCTGACTCTTGATTCCCAAGATAAAAAAAAAAGAAGCCTTTTCCTGCTAATAAATGTGAACAGCGGCATATTTCTTTCTTTGGGAAATTACTGCAGTATAATATAATCCTCGTTGTCGAATGGACCATCGATCTCTCTTCCGAAGAGCACATTCCGATCTTTCTTTCTCAACACTAGCCCTCTCCTCTCTCTTGGCTTCAGTAACAGGACGCCTGGATTCGCCTCGTAGAGATCATCTATCTGGATATCGAAACACCTTGACCACCCCTTTATCTCGATCCCTCGCCGGAAATGTATGCGCGCGAAACTCACGCGCATCGCGACGCCGGAATATACAATACCGCAATATAATTGTACAGCGGCCCCGTCGGAGGTATCATTCCGTAATCTATGTAGTCCCGGTCGAATGGGGGATTATGTTAAGCGATGCGTGAGCGCGGCCACAGTCCACGGCAATCCAGGCGTAACAGAGATACTGCTCGGTGACGTCGTTACACTTGCACACACGTGCGCGCGCGCGCGTTCCCCCGCTTATGTACGCACTCCGCGATTATGTATCGCACACCTAAGCGCATATACGTATATACGACCGATGCATTGTATATTTGTATATCGTGAGCGATACGCGCGCGCGAAGCATTACCGCGAGCACGGCGGCGATCGCGGTCTATAGGGAGACATACCCCAGGGGGGTGAATCTGTCCAGATCTACCAATGAAACTTGAGTTTGAGACCCGTGGCTGCCACAAGTGACCGCTTTGATCGAGAGTGCACTCGCCGATTTATTAAGATTGTCAAAAGACGTTTCACTCTTCGAGTTCCAAAGTTTCTCAAAGGAAAGTTATCATTTAAGCGCGGGATTAGTTTCGCGAAAAAAAAAGTCGATCTATTTCGAACTGAACGAGAAATGGCTTTTCATTAGTTATCTTGGCTTGCGACACTTAACTCACTGATTCTTCATTTTGAATGACTTTATGGGTTAAAGGTTGAAGATCATTTTACCGTCTCAATATTAAAAGAAATTTGAATCCAGGTCATCACTAAAATATAACTTCATAATTAATAACGGGTATATTCTTCAAAAGTAATTAAAGTTTTAAAATAGTATTAACTCGAAATTTCAGAAAATGATCGCCCGCCCCTGGAGATGGCTAAATTAATCACGAAGATGCGATATTCTGATAAATAAGCAGAAAATACGATGGTTTACCGATACATCAATACGTTTGCCACAGCGATTGTCAACAAGCGCGCACCGTGTATGCATTCCGAATACGCGTTTTTGGAGCGGTGTATTACGGTTCACGAAACGACAATCCTGACGCACATACCGCGCGTTTCGTCGCGCGAACGAGGTTGGATATTGTTAAACACGATTTTTTTTTCCCCACGAACAATTCACGACGCGAACGGTCCATTTTGCGTTAGTGAGTCGCGTGTGTCCGTGTGTTTCGCCCCACGTGGATGTATATACCGTTGAGATTTATTTTTTTTAGCGTGTAAAAAGTTAATTGCCGTTAAAACGCGATGCCTTCATTTGCACACTCATTTACTTTTTATGGAGGATAAATCGTCGACTAGCACTTTACAAATTATGACCTAATTCAACCCGGAAGTTTTAATAATCTCCCTTCGAACAGACATGCATCATTTGATAAAGTTGTTTCAATCATGAATGCTTTTAAAGATTGTATATTTATATATGGAAATTTTATTTTATGTCTCTTTTTTTGATTTTTTAAATATATAAATAGTAAGTAATACATATACATATATATATAATACTATATCTCGTTTTATAGAAAAGCAACGCCCTCAAATCTAAGACCATCTTACATTTGCGTTATGGATCTGCTTAAATTTAAAGCGGGGTATATTTTACGAGGCTGTTAAGTATTAAATCGGAAAGCTTGGTACGCTTTCCGTTTCGAACGGAATTTATGTCCGTATTCATTATAGCAACAGTAAAAAGACGCTCCTTTAAAGAGTCTCGCCCGACGAAGAAGCGGCAGCAATAAAATCCCGGGGCTGTGCGATCATTTTCTAAAAGCTGCTGCGTATACGGATTTTTCTCTAAAGAGCCTACTGTGCTCGATGAAAACCGTAAAGAATTCGAAATATAAAAGAAATCGAGAAAAATGCATCGGGGTATTTTTACGCATAAAATACGTTACGCATAAAATATCAATATCTAATTATATTTGCAATCCTAAAGCGTTTCTTGTAATCATATTATACCTAAAATAGATTCCAAGAAAAGTACAGAGTGAATATGAAAATACAAATCTCACGAAGAACATGGAATGAAATGAATCAATTTACCCTAGATTCGAGTGAAAGTTATTATCAGCTGTGACTTAATTAAATTTTATTACGATTTAATTAATTACAATTTAAGATTATACGTTAGATATTTAAGTAATCGGAATTATAATTATATTTTAATTTAAGTAAAACGCTTAAAATGAACTAAAAAACAATATTTTGTTATTTATTTCTAGTTAAGTGCAAGAGAATTTTTTAATAAACGCATATTTATTTTTACATATTTTTTTTTTTCCAATATTGTAGTGTATAATTATATTTTCATAAATAACGATATAGTACACAGATTTTTTAAATATATTATAAAACAACGGAAATCAAAACGAGAGATGTTATTTTAATAATATTTGTTAAAATTGGTGGATATATTTGTTGAATTCCGCAATAGTAAGTTTAAATCAAAACGTAAACTTCGATATTTTTTCAGACAAAATTCAAATATTGATTTCCAGGTTTCATCAAACCTGACAATACGTCGAGATTTATCATTTTTCTGTTTTTTATTTAATATATTGTAAAATTATCAATTTTATTTCCATTTTTATTAATTATATTGTAATCATGTGCTATAGTGAGGAATTTAAAATTAATTATCGATTTTTGCTTGATAAAGCTAAATTAATTCTGTTCTCTACGTCAGAATTTATATTCCCATAGTCCATGTAATCACGTTCTTGTTCGCAATGTTCTAATTTCCCTTTAATTATAGACATTAGAATCTATTTTCCTTAATGTAGAGCTTATTCCGCGTACATTTTCCTGTTGGAACAAAGAACGAAGAACGAAGGAAGAAAAGCAATAGCGAATGCTGGACTTTACGGTGTACTTCGTATCCTCCTTATTACGCAATTATGCAATGAGGAAGGAAAGTAATGTTCACGAATGGGTTTAATATACCGCGGCATTAGCATGAGGTATTTTTAATTCTCAAATATCTCGGAAAAGAAACCGTTTACGTAACCGTATTAATAATATTCAAAACTCAAGCTTTAACAGCGCAAAACAAATATTATCTTGACACACGGATTAATTGTGTGCATCGCGAGTTAAACGGCATTAATTTTCATCGACTATCTCTGTTATCTAATCGCCAGTAACCGCATCGTTATATCTGTTGTTAATATACGCTATTATAATTTTTCGTTGTATCAGCTGCTTGGGATGTTGAAGCTATTTTAAACATCTCCGTTGTATTCGCCACAATGCACGGTGCTTCTGCACCAGTACTATTAACGTAGCTTAAACGATTGTCGTCATATCCAGTGTGCGACAACGTGGAATGTATTATATTTCCATGAGAAAAGCTCGTCCCTTGCGATATTGCCCGAATGCGCCCGCGAAGATTTACCTTTCGTCCCAACGAAAACATTTATTCTGCATTACGTAAAAGTACCTTTACGTTGTAATTTCTGCCGTGACGACTCGCGCGTCTTGTAATATTTGTTCCGCTCAGCGAAAACCCTCTTCGCGCCATTTATCCCTTCCTCCCTCCCTCTCTCGTCGTTCTTATCCCGATGTGTTTGCGCCGCGGTATTCGAATATTATTCGAAATATTCAAACAACAATATTCGAGCCGTTTGTGACATTAAACATCAATAGGTATATCTGTGACGTAAAAAGTAGAATGTATCTTTACGCGAATAATTTAATTTACACGTGGTTTTATATATATACATACATACATATATGGCAACGTGCCATCCAATCGAATGCACTTTAGCAAATGTTTATTTTCAGTAGATTGACATTCTCCACATCGATTCGCGTATAGCTCTGCGCGCGCGATAAAATGTAATTCCAATTCTCCGCACTCTCAAAGCATTTCACGCCCAGTTTACTACGATCCGTCCGTAACGGGTTACGACCGCCTAAGTATTGTCTCCGAATGAATTCAATCTGCCGGTGTTTTGTTTTCATTTTCTTTTGTCCCTGCTTTAACGGCTCCGTTCGTCGCGCGGCCGCGCAATTTTCCGCGTGAAAAGCGATCGCGATTCGAGAGATGTAAGAACGATTAACTGCACCGACGCGAAAGTTTGCCCCGTATTATCGACGCTATTAGAGAATTTGACTGTAAAACGCGCTATAGTTGCGCGAGTCCGCAAAACTTGCCTGTTCAAGTCGTAAATGAACGCGTAAAGATTTTACAAGCATTTACAAACATTACATACATCAATTCAATTTTAATTTTCACATTTTCATCCACGAAAGGTCATTAATTCCGATAAATAGCCAGTTTAAGCATATTATTCTTAAAAACCTATAAACATATACAACTGGCTTTCCCGGCCAGAAATAATCTATCGAATGAATGTCAATTTGACATCGATGTGTCAATAAATGTCGAATACTGATTGATGTTTTTATTATTTTGTGTAAAAATGGTTCCTATCATAATGTTTTTATTTTATTGTTAATTGAACAATGGCGAATATTTCTGTTAGATTTCTACTGTGTTTTAGTCAATTCACTACATTGAATACAGTATATATACTTATATGTATATTGTGCTTTTCGATTTTACATCGATTCGATGTAGAATTGGCCGAGAAACAATTTTACTCAAGATGAAAATAACTATAATGAGGTCTGAAATGACAAAAATATAAAATTGTATTCGACATCGATCATTCATCGACGTTAAATCGACGTCAATTCGACTAATCATTTCTGGCTAGATTTTTTATGTGCTTATTTTCTTTTAAAGACAGTTCTGTTTTTATATATACGTCATAAATGTAAGCACAGATTTATTGGTATTTGCTGGACTATACACCGGACCATATCGCGTTATTGTGTTCACGCGATCGCTACAAAATACGGTAGCGTTTTCTCGACCGGTTATACCGAATTTCTTACGATTCAGACGCCTCTTAAATTCGCTGACGTGCGCCGGTTGTATGATACGACGCCGCTACGTGAAATTGGTTGCCTGGCTGGTTTTTTATCTGCGGCGTACAACGCGCGTGATGTATTTTCGCAATGTTACTCCCCCCTCCCCGCAACGAGCACAATGCACGCAAAATCATAGAATAACAGTGAGATAACGGAGAGGGAGGGCGTGCGAAAAGAAGGGGACGAGATAGAAAATCCTGTTATACGCGGCGCGCGCGTCTTCGCTTTGCCGGGCTCTCTCACCGCCTCATTTAATGCAAGCCATTCGTAAGGGGTGGAAGCGCCAAAGTGTTGTCTTTAAACGAACCCAATCTGTTGCATTTTGCTCCCCTTTTGTTTAGTCTTCCTCTTCGCCCAGACATTCTACGACGATCTCTCCGAAGTGTATTTTGATTTCACGCGAATAAGCCTTGCGTCAATCTTGGAAGATGTCGCGTTCCTTTCTCTAATTATTTGATATCATGTTTATTATAGCATGTATAACCATGAAAAAATTACTTTTAATTTTTTTAAAATTAACCCTATTCACTCCAACGTTTTTTTCGCCCCAATAATCCTCCAACCATGCACTTTCGAGTCCCACGTGTTTTTTATAATGTTAATAGCTTTGAAAAATTCCCCAAAAATTATTATAATATCTTTGTACCTTCGACTAAAAATCAATGTAAAAAACATTTGGAAATCATTTATTTAAATATTTTTTTACAACAATTATATGTTGACAAACACACGTTACGACTCGTTTTACTTAAAAAATCATAACTCACGAACAAATTGACGAAGCTTAATGAACCAAAACGCAAATTAAAGCTAAAAGTAGTGCAAATAAGAAAAAAAATATGAGATAATTATTAATTAAATAGGAATACTTAATTTCGTCGCCGCAAATTTGGTAATTTTTAAATGGTACAGAAGGACTTTAAGGACTTAAAGAATGCTAGAAAAAGAATTTCTGAATAAGAAAAGGCGAATTTAAAGTGTGACAGATATTTTTTATGTAAAAAAAATTAATTTTTTTTTATAATTGTAGCTCCTCCCCACCTCTTCCACCTGCCTCTGAGCCATAATAGACCTCTGTGGAATGTTAAATTTTTTTTTTAACAACAAAAATATTTTAAATACGGTTAAATTATACACAAAAATACATTTTTATCGAAAAAAATGCTCATTTACCTTTCACACAACACTGACGTAATCCTCCAACCATGCACTTTCGTGTCCCACCGAGATTTTGATTGTTCCCCGTTTCGAGAGTAAATGAGCTAGGACTTTGAAATTTTTACCTGAGGTTCGCTGCCACAATAACTTTTTTCCGGCGTGGAGGGGATTCTCCCACGATCATTTGTTTTCCGGAACAAATGATTGTTAGAAATTCGTGGGACACGAAAGGCATGGTTGGAGCGAATAGGGTTAATATTATTAGATATAGGTTGATTCAGGAGTTATCGCCATCTTAACTTTTTTTCAAGAAAATATTTATTTTAAATCGCGGTGAAACTCGGATACTTTCGGTACTTACAGCGTCGAACAGATTCAACGTCGGCACGCGTGAATCGTCCGCCCTTGCGGGTAAGCTAGATCTTTATCTGTGTACCGTTTTCACATGCGTGTTTATTTTCCGCGCGACGCAAACGAGAGTGCTGTTTCAACATACGCGCTCTTGCAACGCACGTAAAACCGTAGAAAACTGGCAGGTGCAATAGGGAAGGCGAGAAATAACGGAGAGGCCAGTTACATCGTGCGCGAGAGAGAAAGAGAGAGGGCGAGAAGGGACGAGGTGGGAAAGGGCAAGAGAGAGGCGAGAGGCTTCGTTATATATATACAGGGGGATCCTGTTATACACAGCCTGTATCATCACTTTGCGATGTACTTGCGAGCTTTTCCCGCCTCGTTTAACACGGCCCATTCATAATGGGATGACGGCCGCGAAAGTATTGCCGGTTATCGCGCCGCGCGCACCACCTAGCCGGCCAAACATTGTCCGACCCCCGATTTAGCGTCGTTCCCGTCTTTCTCATCCTCCCGTAACCCCTCCCCCCCCGCCTCCCGGCGCGTGGATACCTATTGTCCTGAATTACGAGGCGCGGGCCGTCCGACGGCTGCGGTCCACACTTTTACGGCCCGCGGCGTCTCATAATCGTCAGATTGGTACGACAAAATTGGCCGGCCCAGTCATTCCGTTCGGACAACTATCGGGAAATACCGCTATAAATTTCGCGGCACTCGGTATTTTGT